AGACGGGAGCAAAATCGAGGTGACCTTCTGAGCCTCCGAGCTGGCCGGTCTCATGTTGGGACGCGAAACCAGAAACATTAGCATCCCCAAGGGTACTTTACCACCAAAGAGGGCTTCACGTGTGTTAGTCGAAATGTGATCTATGCGATTGTGTGCCGTAGATGCCACTAAAATTATATGGGCGAAACTGGAAGAAGATTATCAGATAGGTTCATTGAACATCTTCGTAATATTGAACAGGGCAAACTTTCCCCTGTCTCATTCCATTTCAACGGAGATAAATACAAAGGAATATCAGATGTTTCCATCATGGCAATGATTTCCTGCACTGACACACTAGCGAGAGTTAGAAGGGGAAACAAATTGATTAATCTTTTCGGCGCAAAATCACCATGTGGAATTAATAAATACCCTCCAATAATGATCCTCAATTTCCCTTCATTTTTTTTTCTTCTAATTTCTTATATTTTCCATATTTCTAAAATATTTTTGTCCTTTAAAATCGTATTTTTCACAGTTATGAAACTATATAAATTCTTTTACTTCCTGTCATCTTGGTTTTGGAAAGCACAACTTCCGGCAATAAAATAAACACTTAACACTTAATTTTTTTAAACTACTTAACATTTCCTATTGTTTTTTTCATTTGTCCTGTCTGCCGAGGAAGGCTGTGGGTCGAAACGTTCTTCTGTTATTGCCCCGTCTTTATGTTTCCAGCTTGCACACACCTTGTTCCAGTATTTCCTTCACACAGCTTGAACGCAGCGCTTCATTTATTATTTAGTATCCTTAATAGAAGTTCGAAAAGGTTCAGTGAGTTGAGATTGCTATATAAATATGAACAGGATTATTTGTTCATGCTCCATTAGTCCGTCTTTAAACTGCGGCAGCTCACTGTCACACTCTGTGGTTCGGCTGGCGTTGTCAATACATTAGATTTAGGAGCTTTTGGATGTGGCTATATGTGTGGCTGGCGTTGTCAATACATTAGATTTAGCTTAGACGTGGCTAGGTGTGGCTGGCGTTGTCAATACATTAGATTTAGGAGCTTTTGGACGTGGCTATATGTGTGGCTGGCGTTGTCAATACATTAGATTTAGCTTAGACGTGGCTAGGTGTGGCTGGCGTTGTCAATACATTAGGTTTAGGAGCTTTTAGACGTGGCTGGGCGTGGCTAGGTGTGGCTGGCGTTGTCAATACCTTAGATTTAGGAGCTTTTCATATAATTTTTTTATTTAAATCGGGTGTGACTGTGGCTAGGTTTGGCTAGATGTGGCTGGGTGTGGCTGGGTGTGGCTAGGCGTGCTGGGGATGTTAATACCGTCTTGTTTTCAGTTTTAGAAATTAAGGCTTAAAACGTTTTTTTTTCCGTTCTTACCATCGGGGCTCGAGTCCGGCAGGAACGCATTTGAACGGCATTCCGGTATTGTTTTGCTTGCTAAAAAAGAAGGTGGGGTTGGGTTGGCGAGTCTTGGGTGAATTCCCCCCCCCCCTCCACTTTATATACTACCTCTTTATATATCTCTTAATATATAGCTCTTTATATATCACTTTATATATCACTTTATATAGCTCTTTATACAGCTCTTTATATCGCTCTTTATATCACTCTTTATATCGCTTTTTATACAGCTCTTTATATGGCTCTTAATACAGCTCTTAATATAGCTCTTAATATCGCTCTTTAAATAGTTCTTTATATCACTCTTTATACAGCTCTTTATACAACTCTTTATACAGCTTTTTATATCGCTCTTTATATCGCTCTTTAAATTGCTCTTTATATCGCTCTTTATATATCACTTTATATAGCTCTTTATATAGCTCTTGATATAGCTCTTTATATAGCTCTTTATATAGCTTTTAATATATATCTCTTTATATAATTCTTTATAAAGCTCTGTATACATATCACCTTATATAGCTCTTTAAACAGCATTAATATAGCGCTTTATATCGCTCTTTATATATCACTTTATACAGCTTGTTACGCACTGGCTTCTATTGTGAGAAATTAATCTCTTGTTTTAAGTTATGTCTCGTTCACACAGTGCACAACAAAGGACAATACCATAGAGAAATACAGTAGCAAAATTACGACACTCAAAACAGTAGCAATTACAATTAATAAGATTTAATTTAGTAATAATACAATTATAAAACAAACGAAATATAATCACAAATCATCAACTTACAGAGTATGAGAAAATCCGGTACCGGTACACAATTAGTACAATGTGCCAATTAATAATGAGGAACGATGAATGCCAATAAGTATACAAAGAATAATCCAGGTCTCGTGAAGTTAAAAATATCTATCAAACTCTCTGAACCTCTCTATCAATCTCCGTCTACCTCTGTCCCTGTCAATCCTTTATATATGCAGCGTAAGCACTGCCTTACAGAAACTACTCAGACATTGTTTACGTTTCTAGAACAAATCGCGAATGTTCGACAAGATACTAGGAGACATACTAACCATGTTTAATTGGTCGTCGGTAGTAAACACGATACATCAAAGAGATTCACCACGCCCACAACAAACACTACCGTTTGCTAGGAATCTAATGTGGGGTCAAACAAAGTTCAAGCACGGGGAAAAGTGTACTACATAACACAGCTCTTTAAACATCGCTTTATATCGCTTTTTATATAGCTTTTTATATCGCTCTTATACAGCTCTTTATACATCTCTTTATATAGCTATTTATATAGCTCTTTATATATCACTTTCTTTATCTCTTTATATAGCTCTTTATGTATAGCTCTTTATATAAATCTCTTTATATATATCTTTATATATATTTTTATATAGCTCTTTATATAGCTCTTTATATCGCTCTCTATATAGCTCTTTCTACATCACTTTATATAGCTCTTTATTTATCACTTTATATCTAACATGATTTGCTTTATTTGCACGCAATAGAGCCTAGGTAATTGATGGCGCTTTGCTTTATTTGTTAATCCATCCAAATTGTGTGACGTGGCTGGTGTCTCAACAAAGAATTCCAGATAGCAGCGCGGCGTCATGGCAATCAGCGGTTCTAAAACCTCACTGTAACAGACACCAAGTTGTCTTGGGGCAAAACAACACAACATTTCTCCCAGATCGTGTCCACTGATGATATCTAAAATATCAGTTCAGGATCATTGATGATATTTCGGACACTGTGTGGTTTAAGTGAAAGACAACGAGATGGTTGCCCAATCATAGTTCAAGTGCTAGGAAACGACGCAAGATTCAATGACGTCATTTCATCAATAAATAAATGCGTTCAACTCGCTATAAAAAGTGGTCAAAATTTTGGCTTTATTTCTCGCTGTGAAGATTTTCAGTGAAAGAAAATTCAACTAACATGCAGGATGAATCAAAAGGAAGAAAACTGAATTTCCAAGGAAGATTTTTTAAAACTTCTAACAAAGAAGAAGCTCGATTGTTTTCTCATTTAAATCAGTCGACGATAGAGACTTGAACCCGTGGCTCCTGTGCCACATGTCGGCGTTGGAAAGAATAGATGCGGCACTTTAAGAAAAATGATTTATATTTTAAAAAAAACAACTTAATGACGTATGAGCATTCTTCCCCCCCCCCCCCAAACCACACCCCCTCCCCCCAAAAAATATTTTTAC